GCACCCCAGCTGCTCTGCCCCAGGGGTCCCCAATTCAGCCGCTGCTGAAACAGATCAGTGGCTGATTCCAGGAAGCCCGGGGCAGAGCAGCCTAGGTCCTGCTGGGTTGGTCCCACATCGCCGTCCTTTGGCGCGACGAGGGTCAGCGCTACCAAACCAACCTGGCAGCACCCCAGCTGCTCTGCTCCCGGCTTCCCCGATTCAGCTGCTGGTCAGTTTCAACAGCAGCTGAATGAGGGAAGCCTGTCCGGCTGCCCCAGCACTTCCGGGTTCCTGATTGTGCCGGACCATCAGGAGTCCCGGAGCATTGGATGCCGGACTAATGGAGTTTTACTGTAATTGAAAGGTACAGATGACATGTGCCCTGACTTTCAAGCACAAGAGGGAGCTCCAAAGCCCTCCTTTTTAAATATGGTGGTTATAACTATTGTTGGATGACCTAAAGTTACACTAATGCTTAACACAGAATTTCCCAGGTCTTACGTTGTCACAGCCTTCATTTAATTTTAGTGTTAATTGCTCACAGTCTCAGTTTTCTGTGTAGTTGTTCTTTGATTAGGGTCAGTAAATGCATTTCTGAAGCTCTACCTCAACGGATTATAATTCAGCATGACATGGCTGAACCTTTATAACAAGCCATGATTGTATAGTTTGTCAATAAAGCTGTTAATTGGCTTCATACAGAAGAAAGGGGGGGGGATGCCTATCCAGTTTCCAAGGGAAATGCTCCCAGTGGCTTCAAATCTCTAAATTAGGTAATAGACACATGTGGTGCTGATTATCTCAATCTACTAGCCTCTTCAGACACTGTAAATGTCTGCATCTTTCATGCCCATCATCACTGCTGGGATTTTAGCCACATAGACCCAGTCTGATGGCAGTGAGAATCAAATATTCTAGCCTAGTAAATGGCACAGAACCATTGTGCTCAGGAGCCTGTGGCCTCCTACAGGCTGTAGCTACCGCTGGGGAAATGGCATTTCCAGGCTTCTGAAATTTTAGAGAAGTTCTGACAACTGCGGTGCTTGCTGCTGCTCCCACTGCCAGGGAAACAGAGGAATGATTAGCTCATCTCTGGGTGGGAAGCATTAATCTAATCATTGTTTTTATAAAAAGAAAAGCAGGTTTCTTAGAGCTATGATTACCTGGAGCTCAAAAGTTTCCATGGCAATGGGAGTGGCAGCCAGTAAAAGGGCATTTTAAAACATATTTCAGTGTCTAAAGCAAAACTGGAGAGGCTGGAAATGCCATGTGTACAGGCATTAGGGTCTAACTGGCTCAAGGTCTGTTACTCCCTTTGGAAGGAGGATCATGGTGGGAGAAAAGCTCTTACGCTTAACAGTAAAAAAACCTTAATTCTTAACTATTCTTGGTTTTGCATTTTAAAAACACTGAAAAATGGCTTTGATATATTGAAAATGTTAGTAGTAATGCTAACATATTAAGAAATGATGTTATCTTACGCATTTGTATTTCTTTGGTGCAGGACATTCGTGGCATGCTGCTGTATAGTCCAACGATATGCTATATTCCTCCCCTAAGGTGACTCATGTTAAATGCAGCACCTACGTTTGCAGTCATGTTTAGCTCAAAGCAGGCCTCTACCATTTTGAGGCTGAGCTAGAACAAGCCTTACAACTGACACACACTGAGTGCTTTGAGCAACCACTTAAGTTTAGCCATTGCCACCATAACTAACATTCCAGATGGATAATTCTCCTTGAATTCTAGAATCTTTTCCCTGTTAGTCTTGCAGATTGGGGTGAACAACAACTAGAACCAGATATGATACAGAGTTGGACCTCCCTGGCCCAACACCCTTGGCACCTGACCAACAAGGATTCCCGAACAAGGGAGTTCACCAGAACAGCGAGGTCAGTGCTGGCCTCTCTGCAGCTGACCTCCAGACTTGCCTGTGGAGCCACCAGCCTCCTAGCTGGGCTCCCCTCCTGGCTGCCAATCCAACTGTCAGCACCTAGCTCTGCTCCTGGCCCTGGCCAGGCTGTCAGCTTCCCAGCCTAGCTGTGGCCCCAGCCAGACTCCCAGTTCCAGCCTGGCTCCGCTCCTGGCCCTGGCCTCCAGCCCCTCTGCTTCCAAACTCTCACTCTCAGCCATCAGGGCTCTCTGGTCCAGCAGCATCTGTGGTCCTGCCAGACTGTGGATGTTGTTGGACCAGAGAGTCCTGAAACAGCGAGGTTCAGCTGTACAATGTAACTTATCTTAAGAATATACCAGCATATTTTCAAGTACAAGACCAATTAGGAGTGCCAACCACTGGAAGTGTGCAATAGAGCCATATAAATGTCCTACCCACAGTGTGGAATGCATAACAATGAAGGACAACAGGTCTGTGTTTCAAAGACATTTACAGTCACAGTTGTCAAGTTAGTGACAAAATGGCAGGACATCAGATCTGATGAAAAGAATACAAAATGTAGGAAGTGGCAGTGATTGCAGTTGAGGCCATTAGCTTTTTGTGCCCTAATGGGGATTATGGGGCTTAACGATAAGGTTTTAACACTCACGAATAATGACCCACCTTTGTTCTGACTTTACCTTACTGAAGCTGGCTCCAAATCGATACCCTTTACTCTCCACCCTAAGCATAGGAGTGTGATATATATAAAAAGCTCAGTTTAGTGTTGCTCATTGTTAAGCAGCTAGCTTTTAAGTGATATGTCATGTTTGATTTTAAGATCTACACTCTTTAAAATTGTGCCTGGCTAGGAGGTAGCATTCATTCCTATCTGATACAGATGTCACCAGGTAACTAGCTATGCAGGTGATATCTCCAGATTTTTAGTTTTTAAGAGCCCTGTTTGGGTCTTTAATAGGGATGTAAAATCCCCTTTAATTAGTTAACTGGCTAAACGTTATGCTTATCTGACTGAACAGGGGCAGGCTGAAATTAATGTTAATTTCACATAGGGATTGTAGGGAGCCTCAGGCAATGTGTACATTGAGGGAAGGAAGGGAATGGCTTTCAATGTACGTAGATTTGATTCCCAGGCCAGAAGGGACCATTGTATTAAACCCAAAGTCGGACTACAGCAGGAGTTTCAAAATCTCAGCCTGCAGGCCATCTATGGCCTGAGCAGTTCCACAAACCAGCCAGCACAGCTACTGGCCAATGAGTCCCTGTGGGGGTGGTGGCCTCTTCCCTCTCCAACTCCACCCTCCCCATATTGTACCCCTTACCCCAAGATGGACTCAAACTCAGGGATTACAGGGGGCCTGGCATGGGATGGCAGCAGTGGTCATCCCCCCCAACTCACCACAGCAAGAGCTGCAGGGAAGCAGAGCAGCTAAGTAGCTTGTTCCACTCTGCTTCACCTAGGCCTTACGAGCTAACTGAGTATGTGGGGCTGACCCATCCATAGGACGGTTGGGGTGGTTACCCCAAATCATCCTAGGAATTGGCAATGTGTAAGAGTAGTGGAGTCAACTACTTGCATGTCCCCCTCCCGCCCTCTATATCTAAGGCAGCAAGGGGGGGCGAGCAGGAACCGGTGCTGGGGGGCGGGCGGGAAGCTGGCTTTTAAGTTGGCTCCCCCCAGCACCGGCTCTGTGGTGTGGAGCAGGAGAAAGGGAAGGCAGTGGTGCTGTGGCTCTGCCTTTTATATGGAGTAAGAGTGGACCACTCTTCCTACATTTGAAAGGCAGACACACAGCAGTCGGGACCTGCGTGAACTGGAACTGGATCTCCTCTCGCAGCTTTACAGTTTAAATGTATTAGGAGCCAGGCTTCCTGCATGCCCCACTCCTGCTACAGAGTTGTACTGGCTCATTATCAACTAATTGTGTACTTGATACCAATTGTACTTAACATCCTTAGGGACAGGATGGCTCTACACACACCTTCCCCAGGTCACAGGGATATGCCAGCAGTAGCATGGAGCTAGCTGCCAGAGGCTATTCTACCAAGCTGTGGTGGTGGCAGGGGGTGCTCCCAAGACATTATAAATCGTCCAGGGCAGCAGGAGGGGCCAGCGGACATGTCAGGGAGGCTTGCATGGAGACCACTGCGCCCCAGAACTGCTGCCAGTGGGGAATGACCCCTTGCCCGCTGGGAGGGTTTGACAGCTGGCACTGGGCCAAAAGTAAATTGAGTTTGAGACCCCTGGACTAGATTATCACAGGCCCTAGAACTTCCCCAAAATAAATCCCAGAGCATATCTAGAAAAACGGCCAATCTTGATTTAAAAATTGCCAGTAGTGGAGACTCCATGTCCCTTAGTAAACTATTCAAATTGTTAATTACCCTCACTGTTGAACATATACACTGTTTTCCAGACTCAATTTGCCAGGTTTCAGCTTGCAGCCAGTGGATCATGTTACACCTTTCTGAGCTGGATTGAAGAATCCATTGTCAATACTTGTCCCCCAAATAGGCATTCAGAGAATGGTCAAGTTACCCCTTAAAGAGAAGATTAAGTTAAACAGGTTGAACTTCTTGAATCCACTGTGAGGCATGTTTACTAATCCTTTAATGATTCTCAGAGCTCTTCTGTAAACCCTGTCCAGTTTACCAACATCGTTCTTGAATTGCAGTACCCGAACTCCCCCCTAAAAAGTCTTAAGGGATATTGCCAAGCCTTAACTTGTTTACCACACTGTACAAGGAATACCTTTGAAGATGCCTTCTTAAATTCTTTCCTCTGCATTAGTGTCCATACTTTCACTTTTCCTCATCTGTTATTCATTTCCTTTTTAATTATATTTTATTTCTTCTTAAATCCTTACATTTTACCTCACTATAGTCACACATTTGTAGCTTTACTTTTTTCTAATGATTAAAACAGTAGATATTTTAAAAAGACAAACTGGTTTCTAAGAGGTAGTTAAATTAATCAATTTAGAATACTACACAGTGTTTGTTTTACCTGAGTGTCATCTCAACACTCTAGGCTGCTGTAACTGAAAGGTAACTAAAGGGCGCTCGCGCGCTCTCTCTCTCTCTCTACCCTTCCTCAATCCCTGCCCCTCAGCTTTACTTTGTGTATCTGACAGCAGTGTACTTAAAGATCATTTTGTTTTCTCTGTATAATGTGTTTCACCTGTTCGGAGTTTTCTAACTGCAATAGAGAACAACATTAAAGAAATAGAAAAATGTGATTACAAAAACTGCCAGGTGGACTTGAAAAGGTGTGGTATCAGACCCTGTGTTGGACTTTTTTATTAAATTTCAACTGGAGAATCATGTCACTGGGTTTATTTGCAAAAGGCAAGAAATGAGAAAATTTGACTTCGTTCCTAAAATCTAATATACTTTCGCTAGTTGGGTAATATTTTCAGTCCTCTTAATGTATTTAATCTTGGACAGGGGGCTTGTGAAAAAACAAATAAACCCAAAACACTGTTTCTAGTGGAACTTTACAAGTTATAGCATCATTTCTATTGGCTTTAGATTTTATAAAATTTTATTTTTACAAGATGTAAAATTTGAACCAGATTTAATAAGATGTTCCTTAAATCAAATGTAGGCCCGTCCTTGTAGCATTTTGTTAGATTCAGATCATGCTGGGGACTTAAGAAACAGTAGCCACTTATTCTTGTTTCTTTGAAACCACAGTTGTGTGGCTGCTCTTATAAAAGGGCAAAGTTTTATTCAGCCTTCAAATATTATATTTTTTGTATGTGTTTGAATGATGACACAAGTTTTATTTTAAAATTAGGTGTCTGCAAACCAACAGAATATGGCTGGGCAGATATCAGAATCTGATCAGATCAAGCAGGTAGGATACTATACTCTATTAATAAATGATGGTTTTGAGAAGCTGGCATTACCTCAGCGCACTGAAGCTTGACAATGGAGTTTTCTGGAAATTGGTGTTAAGAGGCTTCAGCATTTTTTTCAAAGGTGGGGAACTTATTAACATGCATATATGAAATGCATTGTTTTCCCTCAATTTCTTAGCAAGTAAAATTTTGTCTGTTGTAATTTCACTTCCTTTAATTGGAAACAGAATTTAGGTAAGCAAGATTTAATTATTTTGATCATCAGCAGGCATGGAATAGTATCTGATCTAAGTAAACAGAATCTGTCAGCATCAAATGATGTTATTGCAGTGATACTAAATTACTTGTCACTTCAATTGAGTGGTTTTTGTTAATGTCTACATGTAGCTATTGCAAGCTGTACATAGGAAAAGTTTGAAAATGTCATCTTTTCTTTTAATATTGAATGTCTGTTCAATTTGTTACAGTTCAAGGAATTTCTTGGGACATACAATAAACTTACAGAAACCTGTTTCCTGGATTGTGTGAAAGATTTCACTAGCAGGGAGGTTAAATCAGAAGAGGTATGTCCCTGTTGTGTGTGGTAGGTTTTTCTTTTTTGAAAATGCGGTATCATGATGTCTGAATTTCAAGCAGCCTTGAAAGTTTTGATCTGATCGAAAACTAGTTAAGCTAACATACAAGAGATTATGGCTCTTCAGTATGTATGCAGCCTGCAGGTGAGAAATGTCTCTTAGTTCAGTTAACAGTGACGTATTTGTGGTTCTGTTTCTTTGCCAATGGCATACTAATAGGCTTCTTCTTGCTCTTTCATCTTGGAGACATTTAATGTAAACAGCAGCACTCCCACATGAATGAGCACTTTTGAAAAATGCTGAACCCCTGAGGCCAGTAGTTGCAGGACTAAATGCATGCCAAGCACTTTACAGGATTGCCCTCCAGGGTCTGATGTACAGTATAGTATCTTCCTGCTTATTTTTTTCAGACGTGCAGAAAACCTCCCTATTTTTGGTGTTGGCACTGGCCTTGTAGGGCCGTCACAATCAGCAGTATTTTGTTCTGGTGCATTCCTAGAGCCTCTTCCTCTAAGAATGAGAATTCTTCTGAGGAGAGAATATTACTCACCTGTAATCTACTTTTCTGAAGAGAGAATCCTGGAAAGCTCACTCACTTTGCCCCAGAGTTTAGCCTCATCCTCCTTGGAGGGTGTTTTCCTTCTTGCATGGTGTGTGTATTTTTTTGAAGGCACTTTTAAATCCTGAATTTTGAATTTTTAGCCATATTGGAGGTCCATCTCCTGTGAAATTAAAGGAACCAACTGAAATGTTTTGGAGGCAATATTTATAGCCTGCAGGGGTAATGTGACATCCAGTAGATGGTCAGACTTGTACTTTATCCTGCTAACACTCAGATATAAAACTTCTTCATGAGAGTTTTTCTGGTTGGGTGCCAAAACAGCCAAGAGAGAGAATCCTGATGGAGTCTGGCCATGGAAACTTTTTAGATTTTTGGATTTAAACAACCTGTGGCTAGCCAGTTTTCTTTTGTACTTTGTAAAGGGACCACGGTGTTGCAAAACATGAGACAATCATTAACAGATGGGAATTAGGGAGAAACTTACTTTATGGGCAGTTTATTACATAATTGTCCATTACAGGGTTTCTTGCACCTTCTTATGAAGCATCTGGCACTGGCCACTATTGGAAACAGGATACTGGACTAGATGGACCACTGGTCTGATCTGGTATGGCAATTCCTATTCTCCTATTCAAGTTTTAGTTTCAAATAAGTAAAACCCAAAAGTTTCCAGGAATCTCCTGTGAGCAATGCAACAACGTTTTAAATCATCTTCGGTCACTAGCATTCCCAAGGCATGGTCCCCTGAATACAATTCCTCTGGGAGCAATGGTTTGTAACTATTCCAGGCTCCCACATAATAGTTGTTTAGCTAGAGTTCACTCCTGCTCAATAGGTTTTACAAGGTAGCTGATTTTCAGACAACAGTTTAGACCTCTTTCCCCACTTCTTAATTCTAAGCATGATCAAAACAATGCTTAGTCTTATTGGTAATGACACAAATTGGTTCTGTTCCCTTTGTGTCTGAGTCTTGTATGCTTTCGCTATAACTATCAGTTCATTTTTTTATAATGACAGGTAGATTGGGAGCATCATAAAGTGTCTAAAATTCCTGAGCCACTGTTGCACATAACTTTGGAAACTTGCTGTAGAGGGATAAAACCAATTTTGCAAATGCAGAACATGGAATGGCATAGTACTTTTACTGTCCCCTCAGCCAACTGAGCCATAGAATAACACAAATTATTACAGCAGTTCTTTGAGTAGACACCACAAGTGGTAGGTAGATAGTTGGAAGGATCCCAGCAGAAGCCTAGAATGAATAGGTATATATTAGGCTATATTTGGTTGCCCTGGGCAATAGAAGGTTCAAATATAATTTAAAGAAACAGTGACTGATGTAATGTTAGCCTTTGCCATGTGATAGGAGACTATAGATTTTATTTCAGAAGATTGTAGTGATAGAAGGAAACATAACATTTCATTTTAAAAGATCCTCTATGGTACTTTTCCATTGACATGAACGAATGCCAAAAGAAAACTCAGCTTTTTATACTTTCCTTGAAGACTACACTTGACTTTTTTTCCCCCCCCCCGTCAGAAAGACTGGGCAATGAGCTTGGGGCTCAAGACAACATAAGCATAGGACACAAGAGTATTCACCTAGTCATATGCCATCATAAACAGACTTCGGTCAGTCTTCTCTGTAATTATTGTTGTGGTCCTTCTGTGTCTCCTTTTTTCCTGTAGATGACATGCTCAGAACACTGCCTACAGAAGTACTTAAAAATGACGCAGAGGATATCTATGAGATTTCAGGAGTATCATATTCAACAGAATGAAGCTCTAGCAGCCAAAGCAGGACTTCTTGGGCAACCTCGTTAAACAAAAGAGAATTCTATTCCAACCTTGCTTTAAAGCAATACCAATATTTGTTGGACTGCAAGTAGAGGTGTTCTGGTCTTACTGCTGTTGGGGGTGTGTCCACCAGCTTACAACAGAGTTTCAGAGACTGTTTGGCAAGTGGAAATCATTAGGGAAACAATTATGGGCTATATCAGGAGTTGGTAATGGCCAACTGGTGAACAGAGCCTATTTCTGAGGTCCTTTTTAACACTGTGCAATGAAATAATGTTGCTACAGCCATTTCTGCAGACTGGTTATGCTGGTCCCTAGATTGGGGGACAGGGAAGGGAGAGGACCATTTATTTGTTTCTTTCACTATGACTGTTAATTTTAATGCAAAAAGCATTGTACAGAAATATATACAAAAATATCTTCAAGGTGTTTTATTTAATCAAAGTACAATAAATGGGAACTGTTCCAGTTTTTGTGGTGGTTTTTTTTCTTGTCAAACAAGGATTTATAGGCTATACCACTAGAGACCTGCCTCTCTATTGCTGCCATCTCTCATTCCATCTCATCTTCTGCACAGTCCTACTCATTCAATGCTGCTTGAAGTCGCTGACAAATAGATAAGAGTTAGTGACTAATTTGTACCAGGCTTCCTAGAGAGGTGCTTGAATTCCCAGCATTAAAGGTTTTGAAAAACAAGTTGGACAAACACCTGTCAGGTGATTCCAGCCCTATGCTTTTAGGAATCTGTAGCATTTGCCTTTACAGTATGAGGACAGACATTTGCTATAAAAGACTTGCACAAGTTGGCACAACTCCACTGATTTCAAAGAAGTTATATCATTGTATCCCAATGTTGAATTTGGCTTACATTTCCCCTCTCCCCCACATGAATGGCCCAGGAGCATGTTAACTAACAGCATTTGCTTCCAGAACTACTTTTGCATACTTCCCCCACTGGAAAGTAGGAATCCAAAAGTTACTCCTGAGCTCATGGTTATTACATAGTATATGACATTCCTTCAATGCTACTAGGCTATCCAGCATTCTCCTTGAGGGAATGGCAATGGTTCTTTGACATTTTATTATGGTGATTGTAATTCTTGAGTCTGTTAATGCAGTACTATGGCAGTTTATTGCTATTTCAATGTCAAATAACCTTGTTTGGAACAGAGATGATCTATGCTCAGACATGATCTATGCTTTGTTCAGTTATATACAACCAATATGAAATATTACTGTGACTAAGATTGACAAACTCAATTTTATTTCCCTTTTTAACTGATAAATAAAAGGGTGTGTACTAAACCAGTGGCTATCAACCTTTTCAGACAACGGTACCTTTTTCATGAGTCTGATTTTTGTACCCTCAAGTTTCACCTCTTAAACTTGCGAATTCAGACATGCAAATACAAAAGTGCCACAGCATGCTATTAGTGAAAAATTGCTTTCTGATTTACCATATAATTATAAAATCTATATTGAAATAGAAATATTGTACTTATTTCAGTTTGTAGTACAAAGAGCAGTATAAACAATTGCATATGACATTTTAATTTGTATGAATTTTGCTAGTGCTTTTTATGTAGCCTGTTGTAAAATTAGGGGAAAATCTAAAAATTGTTGTACCCCCAGGAAGACCATTAAGTATGCCCAGGGATACACACCCTTAGGTGAGAGGCACAGTACAAAGCAATCCGGCTGCTAAATTCCATTTGGTGTACATGTTACAATAGTTCCAGACATGTCCTCTTAAAGAACTGAATTGAAATTCTAATAACTATTAGTATTTAATCCAGTACTGTCTAGAAGATATAAAAGCAAAGAGAAATGCTGCTCAGTCTCTTTTCATAATCAGTCCACCTTGAGCCTTTTGTATTGATTTCTCTTTTATTAGCTATTGCCCTTTCCTAACAATTTACCTCAAGAGCCAAAGTTCCAAAGTGCAGAAAACCAATGACAATTTCTAGAAATTGAAATATAGGTGTACAATTGTTTACTGTACAAGCAAAACAAACTGCAAGCACCCAGTCTAGTTCAATGTATATTGCTGACTAGATCCACTGTGTCTAGTACAGGTAAAACCAGTAGTTTCCCCTTACTTTTAAAAGTATACGTACTTGTTTTATATATGGTATTCTCTGCATAAGCATCTCAAAGACTTGTGGTGGTAGAGTACGGTGCAAGACCTGCAGTAGTTGATCTGGTTGTGCACACACTGAAATAGCATTAGTGAGGTGCTCCACACTCTTTTTATGTTCTCCTGCAGCAAATTCATATTTTGAAACAATGTTAGAGTTGACGGAAAAACATTTTTCCCCTTCCCAGGAAAAATTTTACTTTTCATACTACTCACCCCCCTCCTGAAACTTCCTCCTCCTTTTCTTTCCTCAGCTTTTTCCAAGAAAAGTAGTTGAGGAAAGTAGAGCCCTTTTTGCACCAGTGTTCATTTACTCATAAATCCAATTTTCCAAAAATGTTGAAGTGGCTATCTGAATTAGGCAGGATAAAGGTGGAGTAACTTTAAAAAATTGGGCATGTCAGGATTTGTGTCTTTTTGGAAAAGCTCCTGGAAGTGGAGGGTGCATTGAGAAAGGTGAAGTAGAAAATGGTTGGGATGTACTATGTAGCATATTTCAGTGGCTTTTTAAAAAGACGAATTTTTACTGAGTAAAAAATTCAGTTCCCAGAAGGGGTTGGTTAATAAATTACTCACTTTCAGGCATTCTATAACCCTTTCAATATTGCTTTAAAAACAGTTAGTAATCCAGTAATAATTCTTAATTCTCCAAATCTAACACATTTTACTTCCCTTTGCATCCCTCTTCCCCTACCTCCTTTCAAGCATTTCCAAGTGTAAGAATTCTTAGCAGCATTAATCCTGGTGCTATCCACCATCATGAAATGAGCAGGAGCAGACAGTGTCTGACTTTTGCATGAACAGCATGCTTCAGTGCTAACACCATATTTTAGTCTCCTAAATTGACACTGCACATGGACTTCAGCTGAGCATTTCAAGGCAATTCATGTGAAAAACAAGTCAACTGCAATATGCATCCCACACAGCTGTTGACAAGAGCCCATATTTATGTGCTTACCTTTAGATAACCAGTGTTCTCCCAGCTGCACCTCTTGCAGAAAGAATTCCTGTACCCTTTCAATATTTTTCATCTTATTTAAAAAGAGAAAAGATTTTTAGCTTAGAAATAAAATGCATCTGTGCAACTAAAATAAGTCTAGTTACTGTGAACCCTGGTGATAGTGAAAAAGATTTCTCTAAAGATTAATTGGCAGTCCCGGTTTTGTAAATTGCCAGACTTATATTTGTCAAACCTCTGGAAGTCATTGTTTTTCTTGGCACATCTTTGACTTCCCTCTTTCACTCCTTGGGTCATTTTGCTTTTCCCAGATTGTTGGCCTAAACAATATTATTTAAAAAAAAAAAGTCTACAGAGGTTTGTTCATAGGGTTCTATAATCCAGGATTTGAAATTATTATATTAGTGAAAATTATGTCTATTGGCAGACATTGACCACTGTCAGCAGACAGAATACTGGGCTAGCTGGACCTTTGGTTTGACCCAGTATGGCTGTTCTTATATTCTCATTTCAATAATACATGTATTGGTGAAGGGCTGCAGTGGATCTTGATGGAAATTATAGTGTTGCAAGGCAAAATTGCTCCCTGCATGGAATTCTGGAATACATATGATGCTTTGTCTTCATGACAGAGTTAAAATAGCTAAATAATAACAATGTGACTGTAGTGAAGAATGGGAATGCCCACAAAAACATGGTAGAAGAGTCTCCTCATATCCACTCATCTTATGAAGCAGGGAAGGAGAGGAAGTACCAATGGCAGAAAATTGTACCCTTAGACTATACCTACTTTGTCTAACAAATTAAGATTAGCCAAAATTTATGAATATAAAAATGAGGTGCGAAGGTGCTATAAATTGACTAATAACTTTAGATTCAAATGTATTAGAGTTAAAAGGACAAAACTAATTAACTAATTTCAGGTACCAGACCTGACCATAAATACCATTTCTCCCACCAGTGTAGGGGGAGATTTTCAAGGGCACAAATATGAGTAGGATTCCTAATTCCCCTTTGTGCTTTGGTTCAGATCAGTGCAACCAAAAAGACATTCAAATTTTGAGTTAATACTTTTTCTACGAAGTTTAAAAGATTTTTAAAAAAGTTGTACCTCTGCATCATGCTCTCTAGCCTTTTCACGTTCTTTTCTTCTTTCTGTAAATGTAATATGATGCATTTAACATCTAAGCTTAATAGTTCAGACCTTCAAAAAGAGTCTCAAGTCTGCTTCTCCGAAGTTTTATTTTCACAGTGGTGTTATCTCATCCACAATAAGCTGTGGCTTCTGACATGGAAACAGATACAATTGGAAGACAGAGATATGAGAGAAACTACAAAATACATTGTATTTATTTTTTATTTATGAATATTTTAAACTATTTTGAAATGATTGTTAAACTTTCTATAACATGTCTCACATTCTCTAAAATGAGAGATGCCCAGGGAGTTGAATTTGCCATATAAGCTATCTGTTAATTCTTTATTAAGTGCATCAAAATGTTTTCAAATTTAAAAAAAATGATGGAAAGAAAGGCTAACTACATTTCAGTTTTATGTTTTGGAGTTCAAATTTTACTAGAAACACTGCAGGAAGGAGTCCATCACCAAAGGCTCTTATGTAAATTAAGTTGTCATGGGATAAGAGGGAAGATCCTTTCATGGACTGAGAACTGGTTAAAAAACAGGAAACAAAGGGTAGCAATAAATGGTAAATTTTCAGAATGGAGAAGGGTAACTAGTGGTGTTCCCCAAGGGTCAATCCTAAAACCAATCCTATTCAACTTATTCATAAATGATCTGGAGAAAGGGGTAAAACAGTGAGGTGGCAAAGTTTGCAGATGATATTAAACTGCTCAAGGTAGTTAAGACCAAAGCAGACTGTGAAGAATTTAAAAAAGATCTCAAGAAACTAAGTGATTGGGCAACAAAATGGCAAATGAAATTTAACGTGGATAAATGTAAAGAAATGCACATTGGGAAAAAATAACCCCAACTATACATATAATATGATGGGGGCTAATTTAGCTACAACTAATCGGGAAAGAGATCTTGGAGTCATCGTGGATAGTTCTCTGAAGCCATCCACGCAGTGTGCAGAGGCAGTCAAAAAAGTAAACAGGATGTGAGGAATCATTTAAAAAGGGATAGAGAATAAGACGGATAATATCGTATTGCCTTAATATAAATCCATAATACGCCCACATCTTGAATACTGCGTACAGGTGTGGTTGGCTCATCTCAAAAAAGATCTACTGGCATTAGAAAAGGTTCAGAGAAGTTCTTCACACAGCACATAGTCAATCTGTGGAACTCCTTGCCTGAGGAGATTGTGAAGGCTAGGACTATAACAGGGTTTAAAAGAGAACTAGATAAATTCATGGAGGTCAAGTCCATTAATGGCTATTAGCCAGTATGGGTAAGGAATGGTGTCCCTAGCTTCTGTTTGTCAGCGGGTAGAGATGGATGGCAAGAGAGAGATTGCTTGATCATTACCTGTTCAATTCACTCCCTCTGGGACACCTGGCATTGGCCACTGTTGGCAGACAGAGTACTGGGCTGGATGGACCTTTGGTCTGATCAAGTATGGCCATTCTTATGAATTATTGCTCAACACAGAATTTAGTCAAGTAGGCATCTGGAATGAGAATTTCAAAAAAACATGGCCTACTGCTTCTAAGTCACTTTGGCACTATTGAAAATGTTACCCTAAGAACAAGCTTTGTAATGGTATTTAGGTGCTGGTGGGATTTTTCAAACCACCAAGGTGCCTAACTCCTGTGGTGTATAAACAGTGTGGTAGCTAGTCCTCTAATGGGCTTTTCATTTTTAGGCATCTGAAAACATCCACCTAGGCTATGTGTATACTGTCCACTCTTGTGCAAAAAGATATGCAAATGAGGCAAAGGGTGGAATATGGCAGTGCCTCATTTGCATAATTAATGAGGCTCCATGTTTGTGGAAAAGGCTTTTGTGCAAAAAGGAGCTGTCTATATGGCTCCTTTTTGTGCAAAACCCCCCTTTTGCACAAGAGATGTTCTTCCTGAAAAAAAGAGGAAAAATGGCTCTTGAGCAAAAACGGAGCCTCATTAATTATGCAAATGAGGCATCGGGATATTCCACACTTAGCCTCATTTGCAGGGCTTGCCAAGTGGCGGCGAGCCCCACTCACCAGCCGCGCGGTTTTGCGCGGTTCTGAATTTTGTACATGCGCAGATCATTCTGCGCCGGCTCTTCCCGGTTGTAATCTACTCGCCACGGGCGAGTAGATTACCTTATTTGCCGAGCCCTGCTCATTTGCATATTTTTTGCGCAAGAGGGGGCAGTGTAGATATAGTCCTAGGCTGCGTCTGGACTGGCAAATTTTTCTGCAAAAGTGGCTGCTTTTGCGCAAAAACTTGCCGTCTACACTGGCCGCTTGATTTTGCACAAAAGATAACTTTCCTTATTTACTTTCTCCACACCAATCATGATTTTATAGACTTGTATCATATCACCCCTTAGTCATCTCTTTTCCAAGATGAAATGTCCAAGTCTTATTAATCTCTCTACATATGGCAGCCCTTCCATTCGCCCCTAATAATTTTTGTTGTCCTTTTCTGAACATTTTCCAATTGCAATATATCTTATTTGAGATGAGGTGACGACATCTGCATGCAGTATTCAAGATGTGCGCATACCATGAATTTATATAGAGGCAATAGGATATTTTCTGACTTATTTTATGTATCCCCTTTTTGATGATTGTCAACATTCTGTTCCTTTGTTTGACTGCCACTGTACACGTGGGCTACGTCTAGACTGGCATGATTTTCCGCAAATGCTTTTAACGGAAAAACTTTTCCGTTAAAAGCATTTGCGGAAAATCATGCCAGTCTAGACGTAGCCCACGTGTACAGTGGCAGTCAAACAAAGGAACAGAATGTTGACAATCATCAAAAAGGGGATACATAAAATAAGTCAGAAAATATCCTATTGCCTCTATATAAATTCATGGTATGCGCACATCTTGAATACTGCATGCAGATGTCGTCACCTCATCTCAAATAAGATATATTGCAATTGGAAAATGTTCAGAAAAGGACAACAAAAATTATTAGGGGCGAATGGCAGCTTCCATGTGAGGAGAAATTTTTCAGTTTAGAAAAGAGACAACTAAGGGGGATATGACTGAGGTGTATATAATCATGACAGGTGTGAAGAAAGTCAATAGGTAAGTGCTATTTACTTCTTTCCCATAATACAAGAACTAGGGATCACCAAATGAAATTAATAGGCAGTATGTTTAAAACAAACAAAAGGAAGTATTTCTTTAGACAATGCAGTCAATCTGTGGAATTCCCTGCTAGAGGATGTTATAAAGGACAACATTTTAACAGGGTTCAAAAAAGTAGGAAAATTCATGGAGAGTAAGTCCATCAATGGCTACTAGCCTTTGTTTGTCAGGGCTGAAAAAACGGAAGATAGGATGGATTGCTTGATGATTATTTGGTTCTGTTCATTTTCTCTGGGGCACCTGGAATTGGCCACTGTCGGAAGACAGGATATTGAGCTAGCTGGACCTTTGGTCTGACTCAATATGACCATTTTGATGTTCACATAAGTACCCATAGAAATCTGGTTCAAAGTGTTTTAGAAGCTTAGGATCCATTCTCAAGTAAGTGTAAAGTCTCTTTGGAAATGAGTCAAACTCTTGGTAAGTGCCTGAGGCCTGGTCTACAAAAAATGGAGTGATTTAGTTACAGTACTCTGGGTTGTGAAAAATAGGTAGTTAAATCAATCTTCTCTCCCCCCTTCTTTTCTTCCCCCAGTTTAAATATCACTCAGTCAACAGCAGAATTTTTCTGTCAACCTAACTACTGCTTCTCAGTAAGGTGGATTAACGACAGCAGTGGGGGAAACTGCTTCAATTGCTGTAGTGCAGGGCTACTCAACACGCGGCCCGTGGGCCACGGCATATTGGTTTGTGGCCCGCCGTGCAGTTTGGGTTTACAGTGTGGTTTGGGTTGATATGTGTTTCAATAGTTAAATTCCTGGACTGTCATTGCTCATTAAAAGTGCTGTCATATAGGTGGAAATTGGGTTGCATTTTATTAATATAAGCAGAACTGACAATGTTGTGTGGTCTTGCCTTAATCTTTTCTATTCATGCCCAGTCAGTGTGAAAGAAGATATATTTGCATGTATATGCAACCACACTTAAGTTGTGGCCCTCAGCATGTGCTTTGAGTATCACTGTGGCCCCTGGGGCTTCCAAAGTTGAGTAGCCCTGGGTGTCTATGCTGCTGGAGTACAGCTGCCCAGCCCTAGTGATGCTGCTGTAGACACTGCAGTGGTCAGTGCTTAAAGCACTGTTGAAAATAGGATTTCGGTTAGAAGTGATTTAAGCAGGTTTGAAAATCTCATCAATGGTGAAGTGGGATTTATGTGGGCAGGAATTATTTATTTATGGGGAGGGTGCCTGATGGACCAGGCACCATTTGCACCAATGACATCTGGTCAGGAAAGCTGGCAACCCTGAACAGGTCTTAGGGTTATGTCTACACTGCAAGCTTATTTTGGAAAAAGCTATTATGGAAGATATCTTCTGGAATAGCTTATTTTGAAATAGAGCTTCCACACTATAAGGCACCGCCAGGCGGAGGCAGGCTCCCCTAATGTGGATGCCCTATCTCGAGTTAGAGCCCCGGGGAGGAATAACTTAGCTCAGTGGTCCCCAACGTGGTGCCCGCAGGCGCTAGGGCACCCACTGGGGCATTTACGTGCGCCTGCTGAGTGATCAGCCAGCCCAAGCCATTATTGTGCTCTGGGCGCCTGGCGCATGCGCAACCCCAACCCCTGGGCGCCCCAAAAGGTTGGGGACCACTGACTTAGCTCCTCACCAGGACCATTCTTTTTTGACATAGCAGCAGTGGAACGTCCAATCACACCCTCTTTCGAAAGAGCTTTTTTGGAAGAGGTGTTAGTCCTCGTGGAATCAGGTGTACTGATGTCAGAAAAAGCCCTCCATTATTCCCATTTTCTTTCGCAGTCACCGCGTGGACGCTAGTACGCCTTTTCCAGGATAACGGCTGCTATTCCGGAGTAACGGTGCCGTGTAGACGCACCCTAACGCTCACGACAGCTCCCCGCCCTGGGCTTTCCTGCCTTCCCCACCCCCGCCCCTCCAGACTGACCCCG